GAGAGAGAGAGAGAGAGTTGTTTGCATATCACGTTGAAGTGAAAATTGGCTGTGAGCGAAAAAACTGCAGCGCACGATTGAATTTCATTTTATTTATTACGACTAAATAATGGGACTTTCCGATTACTCTTGGTAATGATGCAGGACAAAGTCGACAAATAGATTTGTTACGTGTTTCGAAGGCAACTGCGATTACGTCACCAACATCTATCGCACCATTTATTTCACTTTGTCATTTCCGTCATTTTCCCATTACTCATTATCGGTCATTGTCTACCTTACCTTCTTTACCTTATTGTGCCGTGGTATCGCGAGGTCACTCGAGAATATAATTTCTGTGCACAAGCGGTACTCTATCGATTTATTTGTTCAGCAAGTGTGTCTCGTGTATAGCGTTTAAAATTCGTCGTGCCCGATTTGCACGCGGGATTAAGTACGCAGGAAAGCGGTCATCGCGCTCGTTGTCAGGTTTATCATGAAATATTACGGCGCACGCATTCGTTGAAGGAATTGCGTTACGATGTTGACGGAATATGACGGACGTGAAAAAAAAAAAAGAAGAAGATAAAACCTCCTATAAAAGCACGAGCGACAAATCCTTTTATTCTTTCCGCCATTTACGTTTGAAGCGTTCCGGGCGAATGCAATCTGAGAGATAGGCCGAAAATTTATTATACAGATGTGTGAAATCACGCTCGCCAATTTTTCTTTCTTCCTACCAAATGATAATCGCCGTGGCGAAAACTAGCGAAATCAGGAAACAAGCTCACGCGACGTGCTGAAAGGCAAACAAATTGCTGGATACAGGAGGCTATAAAAGTCATTTTGCACGATCTAAAATGCGCGGGAGAATTTATGAAGAAATCCACGATAGAATTTTATTTAACTTTAAGTTTTACGTGTAATGTGCAAAATTGTTTGTCCTAAAGATATTCTTTATACGACAGATAAAATCTACACGATAGATAAAATTATGAATAAAAGTCTATTGCAATTTCGACTGCGAATTACAGTTTGCGTAAAATGGATTTAAGCGCTTCGAGATACATGAGGAAGAAACTCACATAAATGTGACAAGGGGAGAAACAAAAGGCAGTATAGATAGTATAAAATGCGAAATAAAATGTTCGCAGTTTCTAGCAGAAAGAATAAATATAATGGCATGACTATTCTTTGTTGCTTCTCGGATTAAATTTGATATGACACAACTAACTGCTCTTGGTAGTATAAAAGAAAATCATAGACGTACCTACAGAATATTTCAGAACGACTCTAAGATATTCTGCATAATGAAAGTAACAACAAATTGGTAAAAGTACTCGGCTCGTGTATTTGTCTGTTATACGAAAAGCAGTTTACTGAAACTTTAAATTTGCATAACAAGTTCATGTGTTGGAAGTGAGCTTTGAATATATATTTTAATTTGTGCGATTTAATATCTTTACTCATTCTAACTCTAATTCCTTGATTTATACAGGATTTATCTGTTTTATCTTCGAATAATTAAGTATAAATTATTAAACGTTCTTACTATCCTTGAACCTCTTTCCTCGCTACATTACATATAAATTTTATGAAGGAAAATATTATAATATATACAGAAAATATATATTTTAGAAACGGTACATCGAGAAATTTAATATATATGAAATATCCTAAAATAATACTACATTATTTCTCGATGATATATAAATAATTGTACAATAATTTAATATTGTTTTTCCAGAATTAATTATAATAAAAAATTTTAATACAAAAATATCAGAATCATACACAGTCTATTGACATAAATTGTAACTGTAAAAGAAATACAATCCCTGTTCCCTTTTAAGAACTTCAGATCACTATCACTTGTTTCAGAATCGAGCATGCAAAAAGTCTGTTTAAAGATTTAAGAGACATATTTCTAAGATGGCATGCTGTAAAAAAGCTATCGTTTATATTTGTTGTTAGCTAATTTTTCTATTTGATCGCGACTGCACCGATTTCAAATTAATATCATTTTTATTTTAATTATATTTTGTCAAAAAAATTTTAATTGAAACCGAATTTTCAACAAATTTATCTGTATACTATCACGAGTGACAGTTAGAACGTTAGTTATAATATAGTCTTTATTTCTTAGAATGTAACAGAGATTAAAAATCTTCTATTCATGTTCTACTCTATTATTAAATTAATTGTTACATACGTCGCATTATTTTACAAAATTATATTTTTCTCTCTTTTTTTATTATAAATAATACAATTATAATATATATTAAATTCTGATGTAAATGCGATACATTAAAACGCAAAAGAAATTAAAATTTTAACTATTACGAGACAAACTAACATTTTTAATATTGTTATTGAAATTTAAAAATAAATATCTCTTCTGTTACAGTACGTATATACTATACGTTCGTTCTAATTCTCGAATCAGGCTTTGTTATAAAATGATCGCCTTTACGTAGCAGTCACATTAATCGAATATAGCGCTTAATCCGTTATTCGAATGGGGTTTTCATTGAAATTTCGGCCTCAGGTGTGGTGAAAGCAATGCTGACAAGGTTTGCACGGCTTCAATCCACCTTTTGCCAGCCTCGCGAATATCCAAGCTTATCGACACCGACCGATAAATCGCCGAACGAATACGAGAGAAAGAGGGGCGGATAATGGATTTTCTAAGGACACCGAACGACGAAGTAGAAGGAATTGAAGCCTCGGTTTGATTAACGTTGCCCTTTCGATGTGCACTGTAATTCTATTCCCAATAAAAAGATAATCATTGACATTCGGCAAGAGTCACGTTTGTTTTTCTAAAATTAATATTGCTAGAATGAAACTTGACTCTTGAAAGTGTGCAATCAGATATAATCGCGAGTTATTTGCCATTTGATATTTTTAACTCGCAGATTATATTTTAAATTCTTTTTTTATTTTTACAAATGTCATTGATTTGAGACGTTAATAAAGCTATTTAATTTCTCCTTTAAAATTGTTTTTAATAAAGAGAAGAAAATAGTAAGTGCAAACAAAAGAGAGAGGAGGGGGAGGGGGAGAGAGAGAGAGGAAATTACGCTTTCAATGTGAATAAACGTCCCTTTGGACGTCTCGATCTCTTTCCGCTGCTTATTTTCTGACACACGAACGGAACAGTTTTACCAGACGTTCACGATGAAAGAAAAGAGAAAGCGGAATAGAGTAGAGCGGACAAAAAAATTTAGTTTAAAGTAAAAATCGATAGTCTTTTATTCCTACAAAATTCAACTTGCTACGCCATCCCGCAATTCTATTTCTTTCTATTTCAGCAGTAATTGAGCTTTTTGTATTTCGAAAAATGTAGTTTAAACAATTCCAGCGCGCAACAAATATTGCGATCTAGAAGCGGAACAATTAATTAATCTGAAGTGACGACTATTAATTTTTGTGTCATCAAAGGAGAACGGCGAAATTCACTAATCGATCCAATTGAAATCTGATAACGTGCCTTTACCACGTGACATGCCTCCGGTGGCTGATAGCAAAGTTTTTCGATTACAGGACGCGATATTAAGAGAATAGCTATCTACACTCCCGAAGATGAGAAACTGATAATGAACTGTCCAGGATGTGAGGCTACAAGATGGCCCGGAGGGCAAGTACCAGCGGCTCGTAGAGTCTTCCGGTACGTATTATCACAGCGTGATCACACTTGATTAAACCGTTCAACAGTTATCGGATAAATCAAGCTTTGATCGCCCTAATTTGCATATCATGAAAATGATGTGTTTGATCTAGATATCTAAGATAATCAATAGTTTAATAACGCAACAGGGAAAGATATTGACACACCGCTTGCAGCGCGCATTTTCATTACGTTTGATTTTCATCGTCAAAATTTGGATTTAACCAAATCCGAAAGAAATAAAGATCGATAATTTTCCCGTGTTCGCGCGGAAACGATTAATGGTCAATGAAATAATCGTCGTTACACGTGGTGTATCTCAAATCATCGCCACCGTCAAATATTTAGCCGGCACCGACACGAATTCCCGCGTACGGTAATAATTCGACAACGATAATTACAGCTTGTAGCCTGAGTTAACGTAATGTATCGTACGGCAATAGCGATAGTGATTATAACATCGCGGGAACAACGTGTTGAATTAGTGTACGCGCCGTTCGATAACGTCGCTCGATAATTCATCAAACTCAGAGGGTCAGCGGGTCAGAGTGATCGAGTTTGTTATTGCACCGCAGATTACGAATGGTGACAGTGGCACCCGCCGCGTTCCTCGCTATCACCTGCATCGCCAGCGTCGGCGTCACCTTGGCTCTCGCTTTTCTGGCCTTTAATCTTCATTTCCGCAAGCACAAGTAAGCCCGATGTTCCCCCAGTGTCCCGATATACATGCAAGCAGCGTACGCGCGACCGTCATACAATCGATAAAATAATATAATATAAATATGAATAGAGGGACGTCCAATGATCTCGATTCCACCAACGTAGATTTACTTTAATCTCGGCTTAACTTGCTCTTCATCTTTTTCTAATTCCAAGGATTAGAAAAGGATAAAGCTAAAGATAAAGTAAGTTGAACCGAGATTAAAATTAATCTACATGGAATCGGGCATAAGAGTGATTCTTATAACAGTATTTATTCGGATGCTCTCTAAACATTTATTGATTAGTTAAAAAAATAGAATCGATGAAATTATCTTAATAAGTATAGAAGGATGCGAGACGTCTCGTTTTATGAATCAAAATAAATGAAGACAGCTTACTTATAGAAATGGTGCTTGCTATACCCATAAATCTATGCAAATCATCACGATATATCACTCAAATCCATTATTCCCGGATATTGGCAGAAGCATAAAACTTTCAAGCCCGAGGCTGAATAACATGATAGCGGTTGGTTGCGGCCTGGTCTACGGTGCCGTTATACTTTTGGGACTGGACGACGCCACGCTACCGGACAGCGATGGTTATTATCCTACAGTGTGCAAGGTGATTAACATCCATTACAAGGAATATTAATGTCCTCAACGACGCGATCAATATTATCAGTGTCGATTTGACTTACTATGTATGCCAATAGTCTGCACCAATACCGAACGCTTCGCGAATCGATATATAAGATATTACGTTGAGAGCGCAATTTTCTTTCAACACAAATCGTATCTTTAAAAGATAATTAAGAAAATGAATTGGTAACGAAATGTAGTTCTGTTTACAGGCTATGATATAACATGCACACGGTAATAATGATTAGACGTAGCTCTGCACTGATTACTATGACTAAAGATTACAAATAATTGTATAATAATAATTACATGTCAAAATTGTTCTCTTGGCAATTATTACAAAGTACTTTTATAATATTTTTTGTATAAACACAACGAATGTTCTCGCTTAGAAAACAAGAATTAACATAATGTATCATTTTATCAACAGGCGAGAGTGTATTTGCTGTCGGCCGGATTCTCTCTGGCTTTCGGCTCGATGTTCACGAAGACTTATCGGGTACACAGAATCTTTACCAGAAGTCGAAGCGGGGTCGTCAAGAACAAAGTTAGTCCGCATGCGAACGATAATTCGCCACCCTTATTCAGTACGCGTAACGTAATCCGACGGGAAATATTCCGATACAATATTTGTATCGGAAAAAAATATAGAAAAAGCGTTTCCGTGCGCTCGTGAAATCGATGTTCCGGTCAGATCCATAAATTATGGTTATCGCTTCGTGCTTTCCAGCTGCTCCAGGATACCCAGTTGATATTCTTAATCTGCATGCTTCTGATGATCGACGTCGTCGTGGTGACCCTGTGGGTGATTCTGGACCCGATGCAACGTCACCTGCAAAATCTTACCCTGGAAATAAGCCCGCAGGACCGAGGGGTCGTCTATCAGCCTCAGGTAATCAATGCAAAGTGAAAAATGTCCGACTCGCCGTCTCAGGCGAGATGGATCATCACGACGGCTATGGCACGAATGTCACGGTTACGCCACAGTAATTACCGTTAACGAGCCGCAGCCAATTAACTGGTGCATAAAGCCTTTATTTACCTTTGCAGGTAGAAGTGTGCCGTTCCCAGCACACGAACGGCTGGTTAAGCGCTCTCTACGTTTACAAAGGTTTATTACTCGTAGTCGGGGTCTACATGGCTTGGGAAACAAGGTGAGCTTAGGGATAAAGACGTTTCCAAATCCGTGGGTTTCTGCAAAGCGGGCCGGCTCCCCCGATAATAGAGATAATCTGCTGCACTACTTTATGCACCATTTTGAAAACGAGTCGGCTATTAATTTCTCGCATATCTGTATAATTCTCACAGGAAATGTTGTTATAATCCCTTAGTTATCCCTCGAATTTTGATTACTAAATTATTTAAATAAAACAATATGTTGAAGCGTTTTATCAACCTTTTTGTTCCACAGAAATCCGTCTGTGGATATTATCGAATAATATTAATCCGTATATAATACATAAGTGACTCGTTGGTGGTTTCAGGCACGTAAAAATTCCAGCCCTAAACGACTCGCAATACATCGGTATGAGCGTGTACTTCGTAGTAATTACGTCGGGTATCGTCGTAGTGCTAGCCAATCTGATGCCCGACCGCGCGACCCTGGCCTTCGTCACGATCACTGCCCTGATTCTGGCCTCGACTACGGCGACCCTGGCGCTCCTTTTCTTACCCCAATTGGCAAACATCCTGGCGGGTGAGAGGGCTGACCCGGTCGTGCAGAGTCTCGGTCTCAAAATTGAATGCAATACGCGTAGATTCGTCACTGACGACAGAAGGTGAGATAATCTTGAATCTAAAATGTAGAAATGAAGGAAACGAATAATAAAGAAGAAAGAGAGAGAGAGAGAGAGAGAGAGAGAGAGAGAGAGAGAGAGAGAGAGAATA